CCACCCGTTTCCCCTCCCACCTGGCCGCCCCAACCCGTCCGCCTGACCACCAGTTCTGAGCGCACCGTCCCCGGAGGAGGAGAGAAGGTGTTCTGTTGTGATCCTGGAGCTGGCAACCCGACTCGAGCAACACTTCGGCAGGAAAAAGGATCCCCTGAGGAGCGCGAGGGCGAGAGGGAGGAAGTGAACACCGGCGGGAGGGAGAGCCCTCTCCCTACACAAATGGTGAGCAAATGATGAATAAAAAGCAGTCGGGAGGCAAATCGCTGAGATCCAGCAGGGCTCCGCATCCGAAGCCTCGCGCGGCGTCCGAGCGGCAGCGCGTTACGTAAGTCGCTTAGCCATGATGCGTGGCCCGCGAGCGCACAGAATGCCCATCTCCGGTTAAATGAATGCCGTTCGAGGTTGTCTTTTATCCGCTGTATGCCCTCCACCTAGCCCAGAGCCCGACGTGCCCCTTGCAGTCCCGACCCGTGACACTTCCCTGTTCGACTCTTCCCATGGCTCTTCCGCTTGTGATAACAGAGGCGCTATCATGGGCGCTCTCCAGACCAGCGTCAATAAACACCCGTCATATGCAGGTGTCGCGCGATCCTTTTGAAGTGCAATCCGAAGCGTCTTTTTCATTTTTACGTCGAGTTATTTCTTTACATTCGGAGTAGAGTCTTTTTGTCCACGACGAGTGGTGCAATTAAACACTCGGGCAGCGCGTTATATAACGAATGCGTGATTCTTACCTTCAGACTATGACCGATACTTCACTCGAGGTATGGGATCGTCCAAGAAAATTCGTCCGCTTTTTCTCAGATTCGTTCGGCAAATTACAGGAGCTCAGCGCCTGCGAAAATCGGGGTAGGCCACCAAGCAGTGCACGCGTGCAATGCAGGCAAGATGTTGCCTACCGATCGGGCGCTAGGAGAGCTTCCATTGGCTGAACTGGGCAGTGTCGTAACGGCAAATGGCGGACGTACTTTCTGAATGCTCCCCATTCCGGCTCTTTGAAAGCATAGAATGTTAAGGTAACACCGCCAAGGGCCATTGTGTAGTCTTGTGATATTTTAACGGTTTGCGCTTCTATGGACACTTTGATTCGCACTACTGTCTCGCATCTGATTAAAATCAGGGAGGCGTGTCAAGATGTGCCGTCTCTGAGATAAAAATAAAATAAGCAGTTTGTCTCAGGCCGGCTCGCAACCCGGGTCCGACAGGTGTACTGGGCCGTAATTTCTGCCCCGATGCCCAGTTTCATGTTTGTTTTATTCCACGGCTTATTCACACACTGTCTCGACAAATCGCTAGTCGACCGCTTCATCACGTTTTCATGCCTTTGTTCGTCAGCGCCGGTCGGTCTCTTGACGACGAGAGCGGCTGCAGCTGCAGTGTTTACAGGGGGGGGG